CTAAAGAAAATTCCCAAACACCTACTCGGAATTTTCAGAGCAGAAAAACAAAACAAAACACATTTAGACTTGGATTTCAAACTTTGAGAGCTACACACACACACACACACACACACACACACACACACACACACACGGGGGGGGGCAGAGGAAGTGAGGGAGGGAGGAGGACAGGGAGGGAGAAGGACAGGGAGAGGGAGGGAGGGGGAGAGAGAGAAAGAGAGAGAGAGAGAGCGCACACATATAGAAGTATATAGCCAACCAATTACATATCCTAGACTGTTTAAGAATCTAAGATCCAATGGACAGTGGCATTCTGAACTGTTGGAGAGTCTTGTGTTTGCCCACTATTGTCTCTTAATGTAATAAGGATTCAGAGGTCCAGGAGAGACATTTCAACACCCTGAAAGGAGAATTTTCACTTTACTTCCGTGCTCTTAGCAATGAGTTTGCTTCTTCTGTTCCTTCCTCTGTATTGTGAACTCAGAGGAGGTGTACTGGCCAAATAATCCTTACCATAATGCACAGTAACAGCTTAGCAAGCTTTAAAGAGGTATGAATACAACTGTATTAAAAATGTCTACTGTCTTCTCAATTCCAGACTCAGCCTGAAGGACACATGTCTATGAGAACCGATGGTGGAAAATCCATTTTGATTAAAGGAAGGCCTGGATTTTTTTTACCTTGACACTAAAAAGAAAAACAAAAACAAAAACCCAACACAAAAACATAAAATACCTCATCATGACCAACCAGTTAGGTGTACATATTAAGAAGAAATGTGGAGGAGAAGGCACCTTGGTGTGTATGCTCAGCCATAGACCAAAAAGCTAGAAATAAAGACTGAAAGTGGAGGTAGAACACACAGTGAGACACACTGGCTATCCTCCTTTTCTGGGCTTTTAGGGGCTCTGAAATAATGTGTTCATGAAAGGATTAAAGCAGGATAGCTGGCTGCCTGCTGGGAAAATACGAGAGAAAAGCAAAGTCAGAAATCAGTACGACACTACAACCTTGGTTTGTCTAGTTAATGCTTATTTCCTTATTTGGAGACAAAGGCGAAAGACATTCATCCCCCAAACAATAGGAAAACTGAGACTCTGCACAGACAAAAGCAGATCTGTGTAAAATTGCGGAGACTAATACACAATGTTTGCAAATAACTAAAACACAATCAAGAGGGAATAAATGTGTAAATTTTCTCTGTGTGTCCCTGTATCTCTGTGTGGATTTGGAGGCTAAGCGTCATTCCTGAGGTGCCATCTACCTTTTCGGGGGCCCAGAACTTGCCAAACAGTCTCAGCTGGCTGGCTAGTTCCAGGGTGTGTCTGTATCCACCTTTCCAGAATTGGGATTACAAGCATGTGCTACCATGCCCATCTTTTTATGTGGGTTCTGGGGGCTTGAACTGAGGTCTTCATGAACTTTACTGAACAAATCATCTTCCGAGCCTCTACAATATGTCTTAGCTAAACTGCTTGTAGTCTATAGTGGCAGGACAGAAAGAAAGGCCATTAGCATTCACTCCCAGACTCCTCTCACACATATATACCAAGGGAGGGACAGTCAAGTCTGCTCTGAATTAAAGTTATGAATATCACACTTTAAAACCAAGAACAAAGTGTTGGGAGTTTATTCTTGTTTTGTCTCACCGAAACCAAGAAGTTTCAGAAACTAGAATTCTATAGCTCTGAACTAACTTAATGATTTAAGAATCTGGAAACAATGACTTTTGCATATTTTACTACAACTGAAAATAACAGATCACTCTAATCTGAACATGTTTCTGGGGCTGTGTGTTAATTAGGGGCACTGGTTACAGGTAGCATTTTCTTGTTATTGCTTAAAGATCAGCTCCAATGCCCCATCATGCTTGATGAAGGCCTGAGGAAAAGCTCCGGGGGGGGGGGGGTGTGTGTGGTGTGTGTGACCTCACAGAACTGAGGTCTAACGGGGAAACAACAACTTGTGCAGGTTACGTTTTGTCAATGTGACACAAGCTCTGGTCATCTGGGAGAGAGGCATTTCAACTGAGGAAATGCCTTCATCAGATTCGTCTGTAGACATTTTCATTAGTGATGGCTGTGGGAGGACACAGCTGATTGTGGGTGATGCTGCCCCTAGGCTGGTGATTTTCAGTGGTACAAGACGCAAGCCGAGCAAGCCACAGAGAACAAGTCAGTAAGCTCATCTCTAGGGTCTCTGTTTCAGCTCCTGCCTCCATGGTCCTGCCCCAAACTTCCACACTATAACATGAAATAAACTCTCTCCTCCCCAAGATGCTGTTGGTCATGGTGTTTGTCACAGCAATAGAAAGCAAACTAGGACACAGTTTATAATTTTAATCTGTGGCATAATATATCACCTTATGAACCAAAGGAACTGGGCCATGCTTTTACAATGAATATCTACATACTGTATCATGAAAACTAAAAAACACAGAGACTGATATTGGGGTTCAAGCTTCAAGCTGAATATCCGAAAAGCTGATAGCCATATGTTAGTTGTAGCCTTCTTCTTTGTGTATTAGACAAAAAAGGGGATTTGTGGTAAGATATTGTTTATGATTTATTAAAGCCTGCCTGAGGATTCAGAAAGCAAAGTCAGCTACAAGCCATAGTGGCCAGGCACACACCTTTAATCCCAGCAGCCAGAAGCTAGGAAGTGGTTCATTCTAAGTCCAAGGCCACCCAGATCTACACGAGAGTGAATCAGTCTAAAAGAGAATTATAGCTCACTTTTCTTTAATCCCAACATTAGGGGAGTATATAAGACAGAAGCAAGGTCTCAGAGAGGCATTCATTCTCCAGCCACACTGAGGAGAGGTTACAATCTGAGGCTTGGTAAAGAGTTCCTGCATGGATCAGCCTTTTCAGCTTGAGAAAGAGGTAAGATGCTAGTGACCAGCTGCTTTATTCTCTGATCTTCAGCTTGAAACTTGAACCCCAGTATCAGTCTCTGGGTCTTTTATTAATTCATATTACAAATTACTGATAGAAATTTAAAGATGCCTGATAAAAAATGTTACTAGATTGATATAGTTTTACAGCAACCAAACAACCAACAGATCAAACTTTAATTGTAAAATCAGGTGAAATCTGTTCTGACCAGATAAACAAAGAACCTGGCTGTTGCGCTACTTAGCTGACAAAATTATTTAGAAAATCTATTTCCTTGTTATTTTTCTAATTTAAAAGTGCTAAACTGATTGCCATTAAATCACAATGTGTAGTTCTTTGTAGATACAACATTTTTAATGGGCATAACATGTGTCCTTGCTAGTATGCAAACAGAGGAATGAAATTGTAAGTATTTCTTCCACTTTCTGTGTGGTGACATATGTGAAATTTATTTTAGTGGGTAGCAAACTGAATATAAGAAATGAGGATATACACAGCAAAAGTCTTACTGTCTTTGGTTTATGTGCCTTATTCTGATGATTAAAAAAAAAAAGTAGCAGTATTTTTTTTAAACTTCTCTGGGGAAAAGCTATTTTCACCCCCAATTTTGTAACTGATATATTGGTACCCACAACATAGCAGTGAACCTGTAAGCATGTTACAATATGTCTAAAGTAAGCAATCTATTAAAACTATATTCTCCAAGAATTATGGGAAAACAAATGGGCACAGATTAAGAAAGAGAACTGGAGAGATAGAATAGTAAACATTCCAAAGGCAATTGCCCAGCTTGCATTTAGGTAACTGAATATTATGTATTTTACTGTGCTTGTAGACACTCTTCATTTCAGCTCAGGGGCCAGTGGCTGACTGACAGGCCCTGCTTGTTGGCTGATGCAAACCCCTGCATACTAGGTATGAACTGTAATGAGAATATCAAGACTTGTTAAAAAAAAAAAATAAGCTATCTTCAAAAGGTCAAGAAGCCAGAAATTCTTACACACCTAAAAAGGAAGTGTGTGTTGAAAGTAAATTTTGACATACCAGATCTCAGTTTACCCAACTGCTGGGGGTTTTTCTCACTTCCTTCTTTGTTTTCTATCTTTACTTAATGTTGCTGGTCTCTCCACCTGCAAGCTCTGACAGGAGTATTAATGGCATCTCCATTCAGACACACATACTGTGAACTTTAGCTCACAGGCTGTTTCCTACACCCTTAATTATCCTCCACAGTCAACTCTGACTCACCAGACCTCTACTACTCTCAAAATCCACATCTTTACCTGTTGACTTTCCCTGCAGCAGAGAGGAGAGCCCAATACAGAACCAGTTCTCCAGACAGGGTGTGATGAAAAGCTCCTCAACAACTCCCTGCTTAGTAGAGACTACATTACATTAACAGCCCAAATAACACACTAGCAGCAGAGGGACCGTGTTACCAGGACACTACATGGCTTCACAATGAACTGATTTTGAACCCAAGTACAGAGTTATTCACATCTTTTGATTTTGCATACCCACCCAACAAGTCAATGACGTTTTAAACAAAATGAAAGCAAAACAAAACAGGATGACTCACTCAGCACTCTCAATTCCATCCTTTAAGGAAGGTTATGGAATGATCTTTTGATTAGCCTAGGGCTCTCCATGATATTTTCATTTTCAGAATCTCTGCAGTGTTAAAAACATCAACCAGGCACACAGACCTGGCTTGCATTCTGGACAGAAAAGCTTGCCATTCCAAGTGTACTGTAGGTTGGTTTCACAGGGATTTTTATGAGCATTTGAAACACCCATATAGGTAAGATAGCTCAGTGGGTAGAGATGCTTGGAGCCAAGCCTGAGAACCTGAGTTCCATCCCCAGAACCCACCCCCACAGGCTTTCCCCTGATGTCCACATGTGCACTGTTTTATGTATGTATCCACAAAATAAATACACTAATGTAATAAGAACTAAAAATGTAAATTGGAAAAGAAACGTGCTGAAATAGTGGTAATAGTAATGACTTCAATCATTCCATTCCCCTACCCCACTTCTTGCCATTTATTTCTATCAGGTATTAGAATGATAAATCACTATCTGGCCAAAGAGCACTTACCTCATTGTCTGACTCCACAAGAACTTGATCGTATTCACTAAGTGCTACTAGAAACATGATCGAGGTGACGTTTTCAAAGCAGTGTATCCATTTTCTTCTCTCTGACCTTTGGCCCCCTACATCGACCATTCTGCAAAGTTAACAATATTCATATTAATAACAAAGAAAAATTTAAGAGTATCAATATAATACTACTTACAAACTAGGGAAAATTCAAAATTTGAAAGACAATGGCATTCAGGTCAATTAATGCTTATTGACTATTGACTGTCTGTTACCTGACAGAAAAAAGGTACGGTATGTAATAAATTACTGTGGTTTCTAGATATGTATGAAAATTGTAACTATTCGTGCCAAGCAAAATAGTATTTTATTAAATTATGTACTGCAAAAGCAAACACAGGATATTTTTATGTTAAACCCAAATAAACAAATAATAAATTTCACTTTCATTTCCCAGATGTCAGAGTGAAGACTCTCATATGTTACTTGAGGATGCCAGGAATGAGCATGGATACATTTAAAGGATACAAGATGCCATACATTTCCATACAAGGAGGGTACTAAATGTAAACATGATCCTGCCTATACTTCCTTTTGTAGGATAAGAATTTGGGACTTTTTTTTTTCTTTCAATATTGGCAATAATTTAGGACAGGTCCATCCATATCAGGCAGGATGGAACCTCACAGGGCATCATTTAAACCATTTCCTGGGTCTGCTTTTAATGCATTCACTCTGCACTTAGTTACTCTCAGACACCAGCATGGGCACCAAAAATGGAGTGGAAGTATGGAAGTGTGTGTGTGTGTGCATGTCTAGCAGTGGCCAACACCAAATCAGCAGGAGTTGTGTCTTGATTGATGCACACAACATGCAGAGAAAAGCTCTCAGAAAATGAGAAAATTTGGAATGAAAAGAACAGTGCTCTGTAATAATCTACAGAACACAGTGTCTGCTCTTGGTGCTGTCCTGATTCTCACAATAAATCCAAAGGAAGAATTCAAAGAACTTCTGTTTCTTTGAGTGTGCATATAGGGTGTGTGTGTGTGTGTGCTCATGTCTGCATGTCTGTGTGGAAGACAGAGGATGTCGATCAGGAGGCTTCGTCTGCTCCTCTCCACCTTGTTTTTTGAGATAGGTCTCTCACTGAACCTGAAGCTCATCAACTGGCTACACTAGATGGCCAAAATGCCCCAGGGACCTTTCTGTCTTTGCACCTTCTACTCTCTGGACCGTGGGTCACAGGAATACGTCACCATACTCAGATTTTTATGTGGATTGTAGAGACCCACAAGCAATGTAACTTATCAAATGAGCCAGCCCAGAAATTCACACTACCATTTCTCAAAGACTGCAAAGGCACAGGGGTGAGGTAAGAGGCAAAAATCATGGGCCCATGAGACATGTGGGTTTTGGACATAAAAAGTGAAACTTTTAGGTGTTAAAGATATTAAAGTGCTGGCTCTGCCCCAGTGCCACTGTGTGAAAATATGCAACTCATCTACACGTTTCTCCTATTCAAGGAAGTCCTACTGCAGAGAACTAATGCTATGCATCTGAAGATGGCAGGAAATCAGACCCTGAAGTCATTCATTACTTTCATCATTGTAGTGAGACGTATACTTCAACACTAGGGAACAAAATGTGTCAAGGATGAGATGGAATCCTAATCAGGGTTTGATGTGAAAATCCCAAGAAGTACTGCATGCTTTTTGAAAATTTTCTGTAATATGGCTATAAAAGTAATAAATTTTGGTATCCAGATGTTATAAACTCAAAATATGTAATGCAGAATGATGGTGTCAGGAACCTTGGTGGTCATCTTAATGTACCAATTACAGATTTAAAAAAAGAGGTTCACATGTATTTTCAAGGTGCTACCTATTTCATAGTCATGCACTTTTGAGCAGTATATTGTGGCAAGATTACACCACAGGTGTAAAGAATGAATACAGTAAAATAATAATCATCATCATAATCATAATAATAAGTAAAACAAAAACAAAAAAAAAATTGGTGCTTTGGCAAAAACAGCCTAGCACATGTCAAGCCGAGTCCCACAGCAGAGACATGCTGCAGGGGGAGCTACATGGCAGCCTGAAGCACAGGCCCATTCTAAGAGAGTAGGCTCTCTTGAGAGCCAGCTCAATACATACATGGCTCTTTTTCTCAAAGCTCTAAGTGGTTTGAACTCCAACTAAAAGTACAGCCAAGCAAACATGAAACAGTAAAGTGAAAAGAAACTAGTATTGTTTTTCTTGTCATAAAAAAAGTTCCGGCTGAAGCATTAAGACAAACAGCAGCAGTGAACAGGGAAATAATAAACTCCCATTCTTTGTCATATCCATTTATATTAAGTCAATTACCCTACTTTTAAATTTTGAAACGCTCAAGCATTTTATTGTATAAAATAAAACAGCATAACTTTTTAATGCTACAGAGAAATTCTGTTTTGGTACCAATCAACATGGAGAAAATATCAATGTGATCAATATGGAAGTTTACAATGGCAGGTACAACTGGGAGGCTGAGACAGGGGGATTGTTGTGACTTCAAGGCTAGTCCTGGCTATCCTCAAAAAAACAAAAGTTTCTGAAAAAAAAAATACAGTTGCTATTACTGATGGAATTATATGACCATTTATATCTTACAAAATTCTAAAAATATATTCGGTGTCTGCAGATAAAATATTATGTATGTGTCTCTCTCTCCCTCCCTCCCCCTCTCTCTCTCTCTGTGTGTATATATGTATATATATATACATATATACACACACACATATGGACATATAGTGAAGACCAATGTTTGAGTAACTGCCTTGAGCAACTAAGGTTTCATTAACTGCCTGGTTATTCAGCCTGAAATGAGTGTCTTTCTTTTGCTTCCTCTTTCATCAATACATTATTTCAGTTGTGTATCCCAGTGATGCTAATCCACACAAAGCTGCAGGTTTTAAACTCTGAATGTAGGTGTTAATGAACTCAGTTACTACCTGAAAATGACACTTTGTAAGTCAAAGGGGTATTCGATGATCCCTGTTGTGGGGACTCGAACTCTAAGCACATCTTGTTGTGTAGGCAGATAAGAAGGGTCGGCTACACGATCCAAGTCATTCAGATAGCTAGAAGAAGGAAGAGATGAGAATGTAAGTCACCATCACTCCAAACCCATGGAAGGGAAAGGGCAAAACAAGTCACAGAGGAAAAAAAAATATCAGAAAGCAATAGTCTAGGAAACAGACACGGTCAACCTTCCATTGCTCAGAGGAAGGCTCTCTACCCACTGTAACCTACTTACCATAACCCCATTTCCTTATCAGCGGGAACACACACAAAAGGAAGGGGGAGCTGATAAGAAATTCAAGTTAGTCTTCTACCCTCTATTTGTCTAGCAGGCTTGGCTGGTAAATCAAGAGTTACATTAAGTTTTTAATTATTTATACATAGTGAATTTGCATAAACAACCATCTAATAAAGCTGAGTGTACAGACAGGATTTATCTTCTCCTTTGATTGCAGAACATCATCTTTTTTCCCTTGGAAGAAGTTTTTTCATTCCCCCAAGAGAAGACAGACACTGGCACACCATGTCTATGTCCAAAGACCAAGTCATTTGTTATTTATGCAAAGTCATGAGATTTTAAGATAATGATGATGTCTGAGGTCAGGTCTTCTTTTGAGCAACCTATACCCACTTTAAACATATCTGGCCGTTATACCTATACATTTCCCGGAGAGGGGGGAAATCAAACATTAAAAAAATAATTTTGAATTCAAAAGAAATTTATCAAATTATCACAGAAAATATCTTTAATTGGTTCTTCCTTAATGACAACACCTTATTTATCTGATGCTACCAAAAATTAAAAAACTCATGGCATTATTTATAAAACTACAGGCCTTAGTTATGGATATTTGCACATATCCATGCATATGAGTTTGTGTGTCTGCCACATATAGATATCTGTGTAAATCACTACCACAATCAGGGTGCACAACTTTCCACTTGGCATAAAGAAATTAACTGATGTACTATCATTGCCGATCCTAACCCCCTGGCAAGTACATATTCACCATCAGCATGGTTCTGCCATTTCCAAAACCTATTCCATTCACTTTCCACTCTCTTGAAGCGTAGGACTTAAGTTGTAATGTCACAAATGACATAATTTGACAAAACTGATGACAGCCAGGTGGAAATGACTGTTCGGAGAAGCATCTTTATGTTTTCAAAGAGGAACTACACATACTCTCCTCTGCCCTGGAAATGATAAAGCACAAAAATGGTTTTAGATGCACGGCTACGAAGTGTCTACACAAAAGGGCTAACTTGTGGGTAAGAGGTACAATAATGGTGGCACAGTTAACAGAACTGGAAGACATCAGCTCCACAATGTGCACAGATAGGACACGGTGAGTTTAAATATTTGGTATTCATGGGGTTACAACTCAGTCATCACAACACACACTTGGCGGACAGAATCTACCTGAGAGAAGGCTGCTCTATCTCCACACATCTTTATTTCTACTTCAGTACCAAGAAAATACTATTTAGTCACTCTTTGTGCCTTTATTGGATGGATGGGTTTCTGATACAGAGATTTCGTTTGCACCTTAAAGCTTTTAGCATTTAATCCTTACTACTGGAGTCTTTTTATGAGTGGCACTGAATGTCAGAAGGAAATGGTGTTCTCAGCCTATAAGATCTATAGACTCATAACAGAAGAGTCTGACTTTAAAATACAAAACTACTGCCTTGTTGGAAGTGAACCAGTCCTCTAAGGTAACAGCAGGCTAGAATTCCTACAGCAAAGCAGCTATTCATACTCAGGCCTTATTCCAGACACATCAACACATTTGTAGCCAGCAATGAGCTCTCTGCTGACTAGCGAGAACTCCTTCATACCTTCAATTACTATAAACCTGGCTAGAGGACAAAAGGGGACTGCTGGGAGAATATGAGTGTAAAGCTGTATTTTAGTGAATCTTGGCATAGCCCTGGTCATAAGATGGGTTGACAAAGACCATCTCCTGTGGATTGACTGTATCTCCTCTACAGAGAAAGTGACTCACACTAGACACAAAACAGGCTACTCTGTACAAATGCAACTTTGTAACTTACCAGAGCCTTGATATAAAAATTAAGCATGTATTCTGAAATCTATGTGATCATTATTTATATACAAGAACTCAGAAATTTTACAGAAATAAAAGAACTCTGCATTTACAGTGGCAAGATAAAAATGAAACTAAGAAATACGCTGCCACTACAGTTATATCACTCACAAGTCAGGACAGAGGGCTGTTAATTTCCATGTTCACAGTGCTGAGGTAGTCTAGAAGTAAAGGGAAATTGTGATTTTGCTTCCTAAAGACGAACTTTGTAAGAGTACCCAATGTTGCTCGCACTGTTTCCAAGCACAAGGCTATGCTTGCCAGGGATAACTTCAGGAATCAGTGCATGAAGTAGAGATTTTTCTGTCAGACCCCAACATAGGAACACTGACAGCATCTTTCCAATCATGAGGGGGGCACTGAGCTCCTTACAACTGTGTATGACATGGATCCAGGGTACATCCTGCAACTGGAAAGCCACTTGTATAGGCTCAGCAGCCACCCTACAGATCTATCAGTGGCACTTTTTTTTTTTTTTTTTTTTGTGATATAGGGTACTACTGAGCTGTCCCCAGACATTCACACTGTGAAGATTCTCTTCCCTCTATCCTTCTTATAGCTCTTGTAGAGTAACTACTACTTATACTGAGTATTTGCTGCTTGCCAGTTTCTGTTCTGTCTTAGTACTGTCAACACCATGTCAAGTCTTTTAAAACGTTCCATTCAAAGCTGGGCATGGTGCATACCTTTGATCCCAGCACTCAGGAGGCAGAGGCAGGCGGATCTCTGTGAGTTCATCAAGGCCAGCCTTGGCTACAGAGTGAGTTCCAGGACAAGCTCCAAAGCTAGAGAGAAACCCTATCTTGAAAAATCAAAACAACAACAACAACAAAAACCATTCCATTCAGACTCGAGACATGACTCAGTGGTTAAGAGAACTGGTTGTTCTTCCAGAGGACTGGGTTCAATTATCAGCACCCATATAGTAGCTCACAATCAATTCTATTTCAGTCCTAGGGAACCAATTTCCTCTTCTGATCTCTGTCAGCACTAGGTGGGCATGCATGTGGTGCACAGACGTACAGACAAAATACTCATATACACAAAATAAGTAGATTAAAAAAAATCTCATATATTTCTGATTAAGTTAAAAGTGATAGTTTTGCCTCAGATGAACAGTGCAGGGAAGGGCACACCTTACTTGGGGCAGAAAGCTAATGTAGGTTAGCAAAAGGAAAAGGCTCCAACAGTATCCATCTCTGCTAGTTGCAGTATATACCACCTACACCCAAAGGAAACCATACTAGACACATCCCCAAGCAAAAGCAATGAAAAACAAAACAAAGTAACCAAATCAAAGATGCACAATCTGTCTATATAATTAATTTTATACTAAGTGGCTCAGAAGGTACAATACTGAAGATATGATTTGTGAAGCAGAAAACAACAGAGTGAAAACTACAACTCTCAATGCCCAGAAGGGGCCAATAGGAACAGCTTGTGCCTGCAGAGCCAACTCATCTGCCCACTATGGCTTGACAAGCAGGACTCAGAGAAAGAACTCACCCACTTTTTACACTTCATATTGACTTCATATTACTTTGTACCCCTAAAAATGGTACTCTAGTGTAGTATGTCCTCTTCATTTACGCCTGTCACATTTGGAGAGGATGTAATAAAGTAATCTCTAATTTCTATATTTTCCATTGAAACACTTCATATTCTCAGCAAAAACTAATGGAAAATAGGGGTGGGTGGGTTCATGTTGTTTTATTCTACTCACTTAACCTTTAAAAAGAAACATCAGGGCCTGAACAAATTTATATTGCAGAGTAAATTCGGAGAGTTAATTATAGCTATAATTTGTTTTGTAAGACTGATTCTGAGTAGCTGCTGAGGTCATTATAGAAGTGTTGCTATAGTGATGGCACAGGTACATTGCCAAGGCAATGTAAGTATAAAAGGTAGAAGCTCCTTCCTGATATGAGGCACAGGAAGAAGTCATGGTATAATGGAACTTAATTATCTAGGAGATAAGCCACTTCTAAGAATGTTTAAGAAAAAGCAAGTTTGACATTTAAGTGCTCCTTACTCCCATCCTTTATAGGCTTTCAATATCTTTCTACTACAATGAGACATTAGAGAATCTGATACCATACATTGAAAATATTTAGTCTCCTTTCACATACTTTCAAATTCAGTGGTCAGGGTCCATAATTATGTTTGTCTGTGGCTGTATTACCAACATTTGGCTGAGAGCCTGGACCACACAAAACAGATGTTCAGTGTGCCACCCAAATTAAAACTATTTTATCGGAGATGCTGTAGTGGCTAGGCAAGTTACACTCCTGAGGAACAAGCACAGGAGCCAGGGGGTGGTTAGCTACCCATCTTTATGTAATTATATTTCTGGGATATAGCTGGCCTGCATTATGTAAAAACTAAATTCTGAATTAAAATGCCTCTGACAAATTTAAATACAACAGAGGAAGGAAAGGCACCACTGGTTTAACTTCATTTAGGAGACAAGCTTCCTGCTCTTAAGTCCTGGCCACAGAATGACATAATTGGCATGAGCACACTCGTCAGCGTGCAGCTTCTGGGCTTTGGAATTCTATCTAATCCAGTGGGAATTGACAAGGTTGAATCTATCAACAGACATTTCTGATATAAGCTCTTTAATGGAACAAAATTATGTTGGTTTTCAGTAAAAAGTGAGGCAACAAAGAAAGAGACAAGTTTAGTAAACCCACAGTTCCTTTACCACAGCAAAACACAAAGTCACCTGGAGTGTGGCATCACACTGGACTTGTAGCATTATGGTAGAAGCTAAGGATATGAAGATGCTTGGATAAGATTCATGGGCTATGCAAGGAGTTTGCCAATACCTGGGAAGAACCCCAGGATTTACCTGGATTCAGTCATCATCTGGGAATATAGCACAAGATTTCAAGTGATAATCCACAAACACCTTCCTGTTGTACGTTTTGAGTACATGAAAGAATGAA